GGGTGGGAGTGAGCGAGACGGCTTGCGGGCGGGGGGAGTAACACCCCTCCCCCTACCCCCTCCCTTGGACCTGGACAAGGGGTCCCCCGAGGTTTTGGGGCGTCCAAGATTACCCAAGATGGTTCCAAGAGCACCTTGGAAAGCCCATGATGAGCTACAAGATGGCTCAATATATCCCACGATGCCACCAGATGGCTCCCAAGATGCTCCAAGAGACCCCAAGACCGCTCCAAGTCGGCTCCAAATTGCCAAAGAGATCACCAAGGAGGCCCCGAAGAGACCAACATCCTTCCAAAACCGGAGGAACATCAATGTGTTTTGCTTTGTCGCTTTTTCGCTTCCGGCGGCCATCCGAGGCATCAAGATGGCTCCAAGATGGCCAAAGAGGGCAGCAGGAGAGACCCCAGCCAGAGAGCCCCAAGACGGTCCCCAAAGCGCCCAAGAGCGCTCCAACAGCGCCCCAAGAGCGCCCCAAAAGGCTACTTTTGGGGCTCCCAAGGGGGAGCGCGAATCCCACCAGCCCTTTGGGCGTGAGTGGTTTAGAGAGCCCGCTCTGTTCTCAACCCCCCTTCTTCCCCTTCGGGGAGGGGTTTACCCCTCCCCCTACCCCCTCCCCCTGGGCCTGGAAAGGTCCCTCCGCGGGTCGCCGGAGGAGTCTTTTTCGACTCCTCGGAGGGCTAAAAAACGACACCCCTCACGAGGATTCTGGCCCCGACGGGGGGAGGGAGAAAAGTGTCCCCCCCATCTGTGATCGATCGCCCGACAGATGGCCCCAAGATTCCTCCCAGACCCCTCCAAGAGGCCTCCAAGAGGCCTCCAAGAGCCCCCAAGAGGCCTCCAAGAGGCCCCCAAGATGCTCCCAAGAGGCCCACAAGAGGCCCCAAGAGGCTCCCCCGAGGCACCCAAGACGCTCCTGGAAGCCCCTGGAGCCGCCAAGAGGCCCCCAAGACGCCCCAAACGGCCTCCAAGAGGCTCCCAAGAGGCCCAAAGAGGCTCCCCCAAGGCACCCGAGACGCTCCTAGAAGCCCCTGGGGCCGCCAAGAGGCCCCCAAGACACCAGGACGAGGGGCCCGAACGACTCACACCACGAAGAGCCCGAACGACTCACACCAGAAGGAGGGGCCCGAACGACTCACACCAGGACGAGGCGCCCGAACGACTCACACCACGAGGAGCCCGAACGACTCACACCACGACGAGGGCCCCGAACGACTCACACCACGAGGAGCCCGAACGAGTCACACCAGGAGGAGGGGCCCGAACGACTCACACCAGGACGAGGGGCCCGAACAACTCACACCACGAGAAGCCCGAACGACTCACACCAGGACGAAGAGCCCGAACGACTCACATCACGAAGAGCCCGAACGACTCACACCAGGAAGAAGGGCCCGAACGACTCACACCAGGACAAGAAACCCCAAACGACTCAAACCACGAGGAGCGCTTTCTCTCCCTCCTCCTCCGCCTCGTCCTTCTCCCGCTCCCACCACAAGGAGGATGTACAAGGAGGCGGGAGGAAGGAGGAACAGGGGAGATATGCGGGGGCAGGCGGAAACACGCCTGAAAAACACAACTGTCGGCATGCTTCGCAAGAGTTGCTGTTTTGAGATGGGCTGGTGGGGATACGCGAAGCGCAAAGAATTAAGGAACCCCTCTTTTTCGATCGATGTCCTCCAAGATGGCCCCAAGAGCGCCCCAAAAGCTCCCAAGAGCGCCCCAAGAGGGCCCCAATAGGCGCCCAGACAGCCCCAAGAGGCGCACAAGAGGCATCCAAGAGGCTCCCAAGAGGCCTCCAAGAGGCCTCAATATTATCTCCGCGGCACCCAAGACGCTCAAAGAAACCCCTGGGCTCGCCAACATGCTCCTTCTCCTCCTTTTCCTCCTCCTCCTCCTCCTCCTTGTGCCCTGTCTCTTCATCCTTCCTCCTCATCGCCCTTCTCTTCCTTCTCCTCCTCCTCCTTCTCCTCTACTCCTCCTCTTAAGGGTATCGGACGGCTTTCCCGCCCTTTGTTCTTTTGCATGCTCCCCCACTTTCCTGATCACATCAACTCCCTTGGGCATCGTTTCTGGATGAGCGGGGTGGGATACGCGAAGCGGCAACGACTTCACATTACATGGCAAGACTTAGCACAACATCGCAAAGCCTCACATACCATATCGCACGCTAACATACAAATCACACTGGGCATGAACATGTTCCAGCATAGTGAACCACAGCATAACATAAAACAAACTAGCTGTTCCCCTGCAGTTGCCACTACGGCAGCGACTGTAGCAGAACATACTAACCTAACATGATGCAATAATGCAGCCATGGCACTGCAGGAAGGAACGCCAAATAAGAAACGAAGGAGCTTTCCTGGCCACAGCGTGCCTAGTCCACGAAGAATAGATTCCCCGACCTAAATCTGGGGAACGGCCTGAACACCCGAACCTCCAGAGCCAAACGTAGTCCTTCTGTTAACGCCTTGACTGTAACATGGCATAGCTGAGCACACAGAAATTAATCCAATAGGAAGTCGGGTATGACATGGCAGAACAGAACAGAGAGTAGTTTACAACACTATTACGTAGTATGCATTAGGGCCCTGGGGAGAGAGCAGGTACAACAATCACACACCAATCATATATCACAGCACATGGTAACACTCAAGCAAATCAGCACAAAGCACCATACGTGTAGTGAGATCGATAGTGGGATTGATCGTGGAGACGATACGAAGGTCGATCGTGAGACCGACAGAGAAGTCGATTCTAGATGGCTCGTGTGATCTATAATGAGATCGATTGTGAGATCGATTGTGAGGTCGATAGTGAGATCGATAGTGATATTGATAACGAGATCGATAGAAAGATGGGTAATCAGATCGCTGGTAAGACCGATCGATAAGGAGAACAACCAGGAACCCAAAAACCCAACAATCCCGCCGCCCATTGACATCGGCGCAGACCCAGCGACCAGGAACCGGGGAACCCGAAACTGGCAGCCCGGGAATCCGGCCGCCTACCGAAATCGGCCGGGGACTTTCGCCGAATCGTTCAACCTCCGCTAGGACCCCTTCAGCGCAAGGACTGGTTGGGGAAGAATTGAAGGTTGTAAAATGCAGCAGCGCCCAGTTAACGGAGCTCTATCAAACGCAACGTGCGAGCCGACGTAAGGCGGGCTGCCACAGGAACAAACCACATATGAATAGAACGGAACATTACCGAAGTGAACGTGATAGAGTTGAATGCAACAGCGACCGAGTGACGGCGTCTTATCAAACGCGACATGCGCGCAGAGCTTAGGCAGGCCACGGTAACAAACAGCACCAGATTCGGTTACAAACGCCGAAGGTTCTGATGGGGATCGCTCGAATAACAATATTGATTGTTTGTTGCTGCTGATTTCGGCCTCCAGGTGCTCTTACCGGGCCCCAGGACCGTTGACAAAAACGGTTCTGGATAAAAAGCTCGTCCTAGGGAAGCGGTCCAGACCTCTGCGGGTCCACGTTGCGAGACAATCACGACGTCGGATCTCTGGGTGTGCACGTGGCGTGGCGCCAACTCGACATTGGCGGAACGCGACTCTCGGAACAGCCTCGGCTGCGCGTATGACGAAGTGCGGACAAAGAGCGAGCCAGTGAGTATAGAAGTGCGGGACAACTTTTCAGACGGATCCGCCCGCCAGAAAGAGGCACAGGCGTGCGAGACTCCACCTGACTTCTCCATCCTTGCCACCTGTCACGCGCTCCCCGGGATGATCCGCTAAGCTAACTGACGGACTCCAAAAACCTTGGATCCAAACAATGCTGACGTTCTGGCTTTTACTCTCGCCGCCGTCCACCGACCATGCCGCCGCCGTTTCATTGTATCCAGCTTGCGCGGGCCTGTCGCCAGCCTCTGCCAAAGGCGCAAATAGGCGAGGCCCTGTCTGGAGCGCGCCAATTAATGCTGAGGCGTTCGCTGGCATGGGTGCCTACGGACATCAGGCCCCTGGGGGCCCGGGGGACACCTCGCTAGACTCACCCCCCTGTCAGAAGGAAACCACAGCTAAAGTTGGCCGTGCTTATGTTGGCCACCGGAGTGTGGACCAATTCTGGGAGAGTTCTGTATCGGTAAGCGGTTCGCCGTCTGAACATTGGGACTCGTGACGCCTGAGAAGTTAGTGCAATGGATATGCGAGAAAGGTTTGAGAAACGTCATCGATGGAGACACGAGCCTGTTTGCGATCTGTGGATAGCGCCCGGTCTGCGCAGCAAAGACCTACAACGGCCTCCTCAATCCCTCAGCTGATTTTTGCTCCTCTGTCCGTGGTCATTCCAGGCTTTGGGCCACAGGAACCAGAGCTTCCCAATGTTCAAAGGCATCCACAGACGATCTACCATTCAGCACTAAGGGACCCAAACGAAGAGCCTGGGGCCGCCGAGATGGGCTCTAGAGTCTGCAAGCTTGCGGGGGACTCTGACGGAGTTCCAGGAGACGACAACAACGCTTCGACTTGAAAGTGCAGGGGTAGACCACACGGCCTAAACTCGAGAACAGAAGAGCCAGCCTCAAAGTAAGCACCCTACAAGCGAGGACCTTCAATAAATGCGCCTAGGGAAGGAATCGAGCAGGGCAGGACCGACTAATAAACGCCCAAGACTGCCTACATAGTAAATGCCGGTTATAGGGGTCGGGGTGTTTTTTTCCGAGGCATGGGAAGGGCTGTCGCAGCGGGGCAAGAGGCAGATGCTGGAAGGCATCCTGAAGCTCAAAAACCGCAAGGAACCAACGAAAACTGGGCCGTTGCCCCTGACAACCTCCATCCGCAGGGCCTTTCCCTCCTAACGTTGTCCCTGAGCCCAGAAGGCTCGGGTGTCACTGATGCGAATTCTTAAGGCATTGAACGGGGAGGCCGATAGAAAGTCCACCTTGGGGGCCCTTTGGAGCCCCTGCGCTGCAGCCCCCCGGAAGCCCCCTCCCCCCCTTCCCCAATCCGTCCCCCCTCCAAGACGAAACGCCCGAGAGGGGTCCTCGGCCATCTGCTCCAGGGTCCTCGGCCGCCTGTCCTCGTCGGCGGGCGCCTCGGGACACGGGGGCGCCCAAAAAGCAGGCGCAGCGCGGCAGCCGGCCACGGGGCCCACTGCGCCTCAGCCGCCTCGCGCGTGCCCCTCCAGGGCGAGAGCGACGTTACGGTGCGGTTCGCGTGCTGCCAGGAGTGGTCCTGGCCCATGGCCCCCAGCTCTTCGCGCCATTCTGCAGCCCTCTGGAGCCCTCTGGGCCTCGCGAGGGGTGCCCTCTGGAGCCCATCTGCGTGGCTCCCCGGGGAAGCTGGGGCGCCCAATGGCAACACTCGAACGACTGGCTCAGGATGCGTTCTGGGGATTGCGAACTCTCCAGCGGCCCTCGGCCACTCGTGCTTGGCAACTCGCCTGTGGCTCTGGCCAAGTGGGACAACAGGAAAACTTGGAAATCGAGGGGCAGGAGGAGGAGAGGTGAGGAGGGGGAGAAGGAGGAGGATGATGAGGATGAGGGGGAGAAGAAAATCGCGGATCTTCTGACCCGGGTCAACCCAGACCCGGGTCAGCAGGAAACCAAACAACTGCAATGCAAGACAAACAAAACTGCAACGCAGGTCTTCGCAAACCCGGGTCAGCCAATATGCGCGGCCGCCCTGCGGCCACGAGCGGCTCGCTGACCCGGGTCAGCCAGAGGGGGTCTTCGCAGGATCCTGCAGGATCTGGTGCCCTGGCCGACCCCCGTTTACATTGACCCCCGTCTCGAGGCTCTCGAGGAAGAGAAAAAGTATGCTCCCTGGCCGCCCGGGCCGCGCGCCCACCCACCCCGCGGCGGGCCGAGAAAGAACGCGGGTATGATCTCATGTGCTGCGACGGACCGCCAGTGGTTCCGCGCCCCCGACTTGCACACCCGCGCACGCGTGCCAAGCGCGCAGAGCATCGTGTGCGTGTGTGTGTGTTTGTAAGCGGGGCTCATTTCCCGAAAGCACGCAGCTCTTTTGAGTTGAACTCGCCCTCCAGAAACACGTGGCCTTTTGAGGTTGAGCCCAACCTCCAGAAATCACGCGACTTCTTGGATGTGAACTTGACTCCCAAGAACACATGGCTTCCTTCGAAGCCGGACACAACCCCCCTCCAAAGCACGAAGCTTCTTGAAATCGAACTCGCCCTCTAAAAGAACGGCGTCTCCGCCATGCCCTCCGCGTGCTTCCCCGAAGCGGGGGGCAGGAAGAGGGGGGGTAGCGCCTGCGCGGGCGAGTGGGGGATGTGCTGAAAGAAGACGAAAAGGCAATGACATCTGAAGGGTCTCATGGTCCCGGCCATGATATCCAGCCCCCCACCCCACCTAGCCTGACATGCCCGACATGGGTTCGCAACAACTTGGCGCCATGCCCGAAAGCAAATGTGGCTGGAAACCGAGAGCGGCCGTTCTTGGGCAAACGACTTGCTGTCTCAAGCGGGCAGTTTCCGCGGCGACACCGACACCGAGCCCTGCTCAGACTGGGCAAGAACTGCTGCTGCTGGTGGGCCCCCGGGGATCTCGAGCTGCTCCCGAGGACTGGTGACAGGGCCGGGAAGCGGCCACCAGAAGCCGAAGGCGCCACAGATCCGCAGTCGCGATGTCTTACACCGCCTGGACGTGAGGGGCGGCAGCAGTCTCAGACCTCCGACGTTGTGACTTTCCATAAGTTGGACCCCCCAGAAGTTTGGACCACTTCCCTGGGGCGGGCTTTCCATCCTGAGTCGTTTTTGTTCACGGTCCTGGGGCTCGGGAAGGGGCCTGCGAAACCTGCCAAAACGTGTCGGCGTGTTTATTTTCACGACGCGGGACAATCTGGCTTTCAGGTCTCCGGCGGCGGCGGCGGCGAGGCGCAGCTGCTGGAAAACATCTAGGGGCTGGGAAACCTACGAAGCGAACACAAATGTGTCCTCGCCCTCGCCCGCGCGGTCTGGACTCCGGGGCGCGTGCGGAGTGCGCGTGCGGGCTCGGAGCTCCTGTACCCGATCACGCATCCTCCTCCTCCTCCTTCCCCTCCTCCTTCTCCTCCTCCTCCTCTTCCTCCTCCGCGTTCCCATCTCATGCCTTCCTCGTCCTTCCGTTAGACCTGGGTGAAACAACAAAAATTGCGACGGTCAGTTCTTCTGCGTGTTTGGCCTCCAAAGGCCGATTGGTGGCCCTGGACCGTCAAACGACTACTCATGATAAAAAACTGGCCCTGGAGAATAGGCCGAGGTCCCCGAGGGCATCGCGAATAAAAATGCGTCGTCGGAGATGGCAATCACGCGTCCTCCCCCTCCTCCCTGATCCCACAGGGGGGGCGGTGACCAAAGGAAGCGCGAGGCAGCGGACAGGGGGAGGAGACAGGCGGGAGGAGACAGGGAGGAGGCAGGGGGGCAAGGCTGATGCGTGACAGGGGACGGGGAGGATGCGAGGCGGAGATGATCCTTGTCGGGAACCTCGGCAGGCGGTGGGTGTGGATGTGGATACGGTCGCGAGGGAACGCCCGCTGGCCGGCGGCGCCAGGCGCCTGGAACGTGCTCCTGCCCGCGGCCGCGTCCTGCGCGGGCGTCCACCGCTCGATCAGCTCGTGCACGCGGTCGCCACCTGAAGCGGGGGGGGTAGCATAGGGGGGGGGGGGGGGGCGAGGAGGAGGGCGAGGAACAGGATGAGGAGGAGGGCGAGAGGGAGGACAAGTCAGGTGCGCTTGCGCTCTATCTGACGTGCACCCCTATCCACCAATCCCTGGCCATTACGCTGATGTTTTCTGTCCGCGGACGCGTGTCATAGCGGATCTGGAGCTCAAACAACTGCACCATCGTGTTTATGCGCAACCGGAAAAGGGGAGCTGCGGACAGAGGAGGAGGAGGAGGAGGAGGAGGAGGAGGACGCAGAGGAGGAGGAGGAGGAGGAGGAGGAGGTGGTGGTGGTGGTGGTGGTGGCGGATGAGCAGAAAGATGAGTAGGAGGAGGGGGAAAAGGAGGAGGAGGCGGAGGAGGAGGGAGGAGCACGAGCACAAACAGTAACAACGAGAATTGGAATGGAAGGCCCCGGTACAAAAATGAGGCCCACACTGCAGCGGGAACACCGTTTTGACGGACCGAGATCGCTCGGATTGGCAAAACGCAAAAGACAAGTTAGCTCGGACACATCCTGTGCGTAAGAAACAATACGCGGAGGGGGGGGCGCGACTCTCGGAGTAGTATTCATATGGGGGAATCCGGTCGAGGAGGAGGAGGAGGAGGCGGATTCGGACGGACGAAAGGGGGAGGGCACAACAAAGGGAGAGCTTGCGAATCAGCGGCATGCAGCTGGCTTCTCTCGCGTTGTGAAACGCTGGCGCGCCTGGGAAAACGCCTGGCGGCGGGGGCCGAAACCAGCTGCACGCAGCAGTTTTTCCGCACCGCCCACTGAGGGAGACAGATAGGGGGACAGGCTCACTCCGACGTCCAGCGATATGACGCTTTTGATCCCAGCGTTTTCCCTCGATTTCGGCTCGTGTGGCCCGCTATTGGGCTGCAGGGAAATCAGACATGAGTCCGCGACGTAAAAGTGCTGCCCCATGACAGCGGTCGGGAGCTGTGGGACCGCGGATTGCAAATTCATATCGGAGGCTGTCCGGGACCAGCTCAGGGGGGAACGAGGGGGAGGGAGGGGGGTGAGGGGAGAGGGAGGTGGGCGAGTCGGATGCCGAACTAGAACTGGAACTAGAACTGGGCGAGCTAGAACTGGCGAGTCGGGCCCGCCGCAAGCGTCGCCGAACATCGCGAGGGGGTCGTGCGAGGTGCCGATGCCGAGGCCCTGGTGGCAGCGCGTCGCCGACGCGTGTCCAGCAGGGCTCGTCGGGAGGAGCTGGGACGCGGGTCCACCCCGCAGGTAGGACGCCTCGAAGCCAGAAGCACGGGTACGCGTCAGCTTCAGCATGAGCTCTGGCAACGAGGTGGGCGCTGCGGTCGAGGGCCTTGGGCCCCTGGTTGGCCCGGCATGCCCGCACCTGGGGCGCATGCAGTCGACCGAGTCCTGCGTGCCGAAGGTGCCGGCGACCCGCTCGCCAAGCCACGCGCCGCCAACTGCAATAGACACCGTGAGGGGCGCGAGGTGCTGGTGCTGCTGGAATCCCTGGAGCATCTGCACCATGGCGCGATGGGAGGCCATGTCGGCCTCATGCTGCAGGCCTTCCCCGCACCAGTGAAGGGCGGCGTCGTTCCATGGCTGCTCTTGCACCAAGGCGTCGAATGCGTCGAGCAACTGCTGAGCGGGTCCGTCGACGAGCGCCTCCGCGCTGGGAAATGTCCAGCGCCCCCATCCGCCTCCAAGGAGGTGGCGAACCCACCCGCGCAGGCCCACGGGGTCCCAGTCGCACTCCATCAGCAAGGCTGACGGCGCTGACTCGAGCTGCTGTCGCAAGATCTTGAGCTCCATGCAGGAGCTGCAGGACGGTGGCGAGGCACTTCCCCTTGCCAGCTGCAGCGCTGAGGGCACCAAGGCGCTGGCGGGCCTTGCGTCGCCATGAGGCTGGGGTGCCCAGGATCTGGCGCCCGTAGCTGGCGGCTGCTTGGGGGGGGGGGGGGGCATCTCGATCCGCGAGCAGGTGCGACGCTGCTTGCTGGCCCTCACGAAACCTCGAACACGAAGGTGCGACTTGACAACCTTCTTCGCCCTTCTAGTCCGAGTAGGTCGCCGCGCGCCCTTGCCCGCGGCGAGGTCGACCCCGAGACATGGGGGGCACTTTGCGGCAGCGATGACGTGACCCTTGGCGCGCAGCGCGTCCATGATGCGCTTGGCCAGCCCGCGGCGGTTGGCGATGACCGCGCTCTTCAGCGAGATGCGGGGGCCGTCGGAGGCGCGCGTGTCGCAGGCCCTGGCAATCGCGGCAACTAACGTGCTCTCCGCGCCAGGCTCCGCGCCGACCGCCGCCTCGGACAGGTCGTCGATCCAGTTGCGGGGTGTCAGAATTCCAGTCGGCTTGGACTGCGTGATCTTACCCAGTATGAAGTGGGCGAGGCACTGCACCAACCGCGCCCCTGAGCGCAGCCCTCGCACGATGGACCTGGCAGGTTGCAACTGCAGCGACACCGCTCCGTCGCGGATCAAGACCCGCGGGGCAAGGCACAGCTGAAGCTCGGGGGCGAGCATGGCGGGGGAAAAGCCCAGCCGCAGGGCGGCACGTCCAAGCTTGATCCACTCCATGGAGTCGTAGAAAACCTCGATGTCGAGCATGCGCGCGCGTGCGCCAGGCCCATCGCGCTGTAGGCCTCCGCGCCGGCAGCACGGAGGAAGGCCTCGACGACGGCGGCGTTCCCGCGGACCGCGGCGCCCCAGGGCGGCACTGTGTCATGACTCCAATACTGGATAACAGGCTCGCGAGCTTGGCTCCAGATGCGGGTGTTCATGCAGAGGATGCCGATCATGCGCTCGCCCCCAGCTTTCTTGGCCAGCAGCTGCCCCGAGACCAAGAGCAGCTGCCATGCTCAACAGCCCACCTGCTCACACTCTGAGTACAGGTCGAGAAGCTCGTTGAGGGCGCAATCGGGTAGTCGCTCGACTTCAGTAGGACGTAGTTGGTCGACCTCTGCCTGCGCGAGGGTGCATGCGTTTCCAGGCGGCTCTCAACTGGGGGAGATCCAGCGCGAGAAAGTCCTCGAGGCCTAGCATCTCACGCAGCTCGTTCAAGAACGTGTCGACCGCGTGCCTGTCCTCCTGGTAGGGTGCCCACAGCTGGTGCCAGACTCTGGCCTTGTGATCCACCAGGCCGCGGGGGTGGACGAGGGACTGACATCCTTGTGGGTCGAAGATCTCGCCAGCCAGGTCGGGCTGCCTCTTCAAGGAATTGACGAGCACCGACGGGCCCTGCGGCGCGACGATCCAATCCTTGAAGCTGCGCAAGGAGGCGCCGACAGCACGCCCCCGCCCACGGCGCAGGCTGCCCAGCACGACCTCCAGCGCATGCTGGACGGTTTGGATGGGCAAGCGTGGCAGAGCGCGAAGGTCCCGACGGAGACTGGCCCATGTGATGGACGGCTCCTCAGCAGCTGCCCCGCGAGCACGTCGACCCCCGCCTCGGCCAGCGGCGAGAGCGCGTCGGGGATGAGCAGGATAATCCTGAACCAGACGGCGACACTCGGCGGCAGCGCGGCGGCGCTCGGCGGCAGCAGCGCGCGCAACAGGGGCGCTGCCGACGACCCCCTTGGAGAAGCGCGCGAACTTCCCGAGGGCAGTGTGTAGCACCGCCAACCAACCCGCAGCGTAGTCGATGTCGGTGACCTCCGCGCGGATGGCGCGCTGGATCGCTGACGCCCGGCACTCGACCAGGTGAATGCCGTCGCCTCGAGAGAGGCCTCGGCCATGCTGGGGTTCTCGTGCACGATGACGCGCGGCCGCTTCGACCTGACGAACCCATCTGGCGCAGGCGTCGCTGAGAGGCCCAATGACCTTGGCACCGACGCGGTAGGCGGCCGACTCGCCGATCGCCCCCCGCGGAGTAGAAGCTGGGACTCTGGCGCTAGCCGCTCGCTCCCAAGTATTCTCCGATATCCAGCAGGGAACGTCACCGCCGTGATCTGGGCTGTCGTCGCAAGCGGGCGAGATGGAGGTGGCGGGGCGAGGAGTGAGGAGCTGTGATTGCCGCGCCCCAGAGCCAGGGGGGCTCTGAAACTGATTTCCGCCAACCTCCTCAGCCGCCACTCGGCCGCCGTCCACTGGCCCGCGGTCCGAGGCCCCCTCTAAGACCTGCTCGACCTCGGGGGGCTCCTCGATGCCCGCGTGCGGGATGCCATGGCCGTCGCCAAGGTCCAGGCACTCGAAAGGGTCGACGTGGTCCTCGCCCATGGAATGACGCTCGGGAATGGCATGGGCCTGGGGTCGACCACCGCCGCCTTCGCCATCAACGGGAGTTACGTCGTGAGCGGCTGCCAGCAGCGGCGACTTGGCGAACGTGCTGAGGGTGAGGGTGCTGGGCCGGGGCGGCCTGCCAGAGGGCGCGCCCCCCCCCCCCTGGCGGGGGGCGCGCCATCCGGCGGCGGCGGCAGCATCGAGTTCTCAACTTCATCAGCCCGCGAGTCGTCGCCATCGCTGGGGGGGGGGGAACTTTCGCCGCCCGCATCATCGGTGGAAATGTCAGATTCGGGGCCCCCCGGCTGGCTGCCGAAGGCCTCCTTCAAGAAACCGGCCCGCTTGAGACGGGCGGCGCCTCTGCGGGAGCGCGCCCTGCGCCGCTTGGTGGGGTTCGTCGGCGACGGGCGGGGTCGAGCGCCCGCGGGCAGTGGTCTGGGCGCCACCGGGCGGCGCGCCACGCGTCATCAGCTGCTGGTCGCTGCCGAGGAGCCCCACCGCGAGGCCGCAGTGGGTCTTCCAGGGGGCGGCCTGCGCGCCTCGAAAACCCGCGACGCACGGTGGGCAGGAGGTCGAGCAAATGCCGCAGTCGACGCGCGATCCCGCGGCGCCCGCGGCGCAGGTGCAGGTCGCATCGCACAGTGGCACGTGCCCGCCGACCCGCTCCACGAAGCCACGCCGCTGCAACGCCGACGGCCCCGCGTCGAAATCGCCGAGCATCAGCCAGGGCAGCTGCGGGGCCGCGATCAGCGCGCCGGAGCGAGCATGCCTGCGCAGGACATCCCGCCCATCCAAGAGGCGAGAGGGCGCGGGAGATGGTGGCCGCCACGGCGCGCCCCTGCACGCGCATCGCGCCGGCCTGGCAGCCGCCCAGGTCGGACGAGGCTGGGGCGCGCAGCTGCCTGGGCGCTGGCGCGGTGGCCCCGAAGCGGCGCGCGTGGAGATGCTGGCGGGCGAGCAGCCACTCACCACCCTCAGCGCCATCGCCGCTCGAGGCACGGGCGGGGCCGGCGTGAACCCGCCATCCAGCGCGCTTTGCCTTGCGAGTCCACTCCTCCAACTTGGCCGAGGGGCGGCCGTGTGTCTCCGCGAAGCTTAGGACATCGTAGCCGGCGCGCTCCTTCTCCGCGAACTCCCAGGCCTGCTGCCCCATCGCGATGATGTTCGCGAAGAAGAAAGTGCGGCAGTGGCGGGGGGGGGGGGGGGAGGGGGGACTCGCCACGATCCACATGCGCACATGCGCCCCGTCGATGATGAGCCCCCGTCCTGGCGCTGACGCACCGCGGGCGCAGCCGGCTGCGACCGCGGGAGCTGAACCCTCAACGCCAGGGAAAACATCATGACTGTCAGAAATGCCACAAATGTGGATCTGCGCGTCACTGCCAGCCGCGCCAGCGGCTACCCCTGAAGCCGCTGGCGGCGCCTGGCGCCACAGGCTGCTGCCCTCGGCGTTGGGCGACGCCGCGTGGGCGGCCTCCGACTCTGCACCTGGGCCAGCCGAGCCTGAGGCACCGCGAGCTGCCGAGGCCACCTTCGCTTGCTCGGCAGCCTTGAACTTGGCCTGGTTCAGCTTGGCGGCCGCCGCGGCCAGCGAGGGGTCGCCTGTTTTCTCGGCAGGGGGCCCTGGGGCACCTCCAGCATTCTTCGCGGCGACGCCGTCGTCAGGGGCTGCTGCTGCTGCTGCTGCAGCTGCGTCTGCCGCTGCTGCTGCGGGAGCTGCTGCAGGTGCTGCTGCCGCAGGTGCTGCTGCGGCTGGTGCTGCTGCGGCTGGCGCTGCTGCCGCCTGCGCAGGGGCCCGCGCGTCGCCGTTGACGCCCTTGCGCTTCTTGGCCAAGTGCTGGCGGCTGGTGGCGGCGAGGCGCTGCGCGGCGGCCAGCTTCTCGCGGACCTCCCCCGAGCGGGGCTGGAGGAGGTCCTTCGCCGCAAGAAGCTCCTTGCGGAAGCCGCCCAAGCTGCCGCGCTCCTGCTCGTCGAGCTCCTCCAGCACGTCGGCAGAGAAAATGGAACCGCCCCAGCGCAGCTGGAAGAGCTCGGCCGACTCCTCGGCGGCCGTCGCCCCAGCAGCGGCCCCAGCAGCGGCCGCGGGGGCGCCCGGCGCCGCCGCCGTCGCAGCTGCCTTCTGCTTGGCGGCCTCGGCCTCGGCAAACGACAAGGCGAGCTCCCGCTCACGGGCCTCGGCCGTGCACAGGCCTGAGCGGCAGCGCAGGACGTGGTCCACCGCGGCCTGGTGCCGCCTGCGAAGGCCCTTGCACTCGACAGCGACCTTGCGGAGCGCGTCATCCAGCATCAGCTCCTTCGCCTTCGCCCTGGCCGCCGCAGCCTGGTCGTGGCCCTCGACGACCCTCAGCGCCGCGGCTAGCTCGGGGGGCACCGAGCTGTCGCGCGCAGGGGCGCCTGGGCGCTGCAGCTGGTCGGCCGCGGCCCCGCCAGCGCCAGGAGCTCCTCCAGGCCCGCCGCGCCCGCGCCCGCCAGCACTACAACAAGGTCGAGGCTGGGAGGGCGCGCGGAACTGCGTCACCTAGGAACCGCAGGGGCAACGCCACTTCTGGGCCTCCAAGAGTCCGTCCCATTCACAACGACGGCAGGACGAACATCGAGACCAGGGCCGTTCGAACGAGATCCTCTTGCGTCCGACGGACCGCGGCCGACGAGAGGCGCTGCGCCCCATCACGAAGGATCTCGGGGGGCCTCCAAATACCTCCAGAACTCGACTTCCAAATCGTTTGCGCCGAATCGGCACCGCGCCGCCGCCATCTGCCACCCGACAGCTTATGGCGCGCGGCCCCAAGAACGCCTCGCGGACGCTCGGCGCGACCCCGCGGCCCCGCTCCAGGGGCGACGGAACCGAACGGTTCTTGAGGTAGACAAGGAGGAGAAGGAGGAGGAGGAGGAGAGGAGGAGGAGGAGGAGGAGGAGGAGGAGGAGGAGGAGGAGGAGGAGGAGGAGGAGGAGGAGGAGGAGGAGGAGGAGGAGGAGGAGAGGAGGAGGAGGAGGAAGAGGAGGAGGAGGAGGAGGAAGAGGAGGAGGAGCAGGAGAGGAGGAGGAGGAGAGGAGGAGCAGGAGGAGAGAGGAGGAGGAGGAGGAGGGAGGAGGAGGAGGAGCAGGGAGGAGGAGGGAGGAGGAGGAGGAGGAGGAAGAGGAGGAGGAGGAGGAGGAGGACGAGGACGAGGACGAGGAGGAGGAGGAGGAGGAGGAGGAGGGGGGGAGGACAAACTAAGTGCGCTCGCGTCATATCTGACATCCTACCCCTCCCTCCCATCCCTTACCATGGCGTAGATCCCCTCTCTACTCGCACAGTCGGATGTCGAACAGGGCAATGATCCCGAAAAGGTACGCGATGCATTGTAGAGCACGGCGTGGCATGGTGTAGAAGAGCACCGCAAAGCGTAGTATCAACCTAGCATTGCATTGCATGCCGTGGCATGGCATGGGAAATGACGCCAACGCTGCAGCGGGAGCACGAGTCGGAACGAGCGGAAGCGCGGAAATGAGGCCAGCGCTGCAGCGGGAGCACGATTCGGAACGAGCGGAAGCACGGAAATGAGGCCAGCGCTGCAGCGGGAGCACGATTCGGAACGAGCGGGGCCCGAAAATGAGGCCGGCGCTTCAGCGAGAGCTGCATTTTGGAAAACATGCATGCGAAAACCCAACTCTGGGGAATCCTGTGTGTAAAAGAACAGTACGCGGGGGGGGCTAACACATTCAAGCAGTCATTAGGGGAAGAGGGAGAGTAGTATTCATATTCAGTCATTGTGGAGGAGGAGGAGGAGGAGGTGGAGGAGGTGGAGAAGGTGGAGGAGGAGGAGGAGGAGGAGGAGGAGGAGGAGAAGGATGAGGAGGAGGGGGAGGGGGGGGAGGAAGAGAGAGCGCAGCATGCTCCCTGTCCTGCTCCGCCCGCCGTGCGAGGGCGCCACTGGCACGCCGCTCCTGCTCGTGCGGCCGCTGCTGCTGCAGCGGCCGTCTCCGACGCTTCGGGCCCCTGGGACCCAACAGCTTGCCCAAGAACAAGATGGAGGAGAAGAATAATGATTCCAAGTGTTCTCCGTGGGAGCCCCGCGCACGCACGGCGGAGGAGGGCGACGACGACGGCGAGAAGGGAAGATGGGGAGCAAGACGCCAACCAACTACTGGGAAGATCTTGGCCCCGCTGTCAGAGCTAGCCTACTGTGTCCCAGTCGGGACTGGGATGGTCCTGATGATAATGAATTGCCCTGTGTTAGGGTCGCTCCCGAAATTCGCCCGCGGAGTTGCGCCGAATTTCGGGAAACTCCTCCGTGGCCTGACAGCGCCAGTCTTAGGCTCATGGGGGCGAATGCCGGGAAGCGTCTCCGTCGCCACCCACCGCCCCGTCTTCCTCCCCTCGCCTGCTTTGGGCATCCTGCCAAGGATGCCGCAACCTCAGTTGTTCGTAGAAACGCTGGGTGAAGTTGTGTTCCCCCCCTTTTCAACCGTTGGTGTTGCGGTCGACAAACAGCAAAACAACAACGGCAACCCGAAACATCCACAAAGGCACAACAAGAAAAAAACAGGACAAACCAGAACACAGGGGGGAAAAAATGCTTCCGCCGTGCGCGGGGCTGCGGCTCGCAAACCCACACACGGCTGAAGCCTTGCCGGCTGGGGTGGGCCGGCGGGCGAGGCCCGAGTCGTGGCCCAGAACGCTGCTCGCCTCGACGCCTGGCTGCCTCGCTTCGTGGTGTGCTCGTGGCCCGCCTCGTGGCCTCGTCTCGTTGTGCACTCACTGCCCGCCTCGCTGCTTCCGTGGAAGGGTCAAGGATGGCCAGGAAGCTGTCCCTGGCCCCCGGTGTCTCCAAGGTCAGTCAGCAGCTAGCATCGGATCGGGGAACCAGATCGGATCGGGATGTGCGTCGGATCGGGCTGCATCGGTACGAGGTGGAAACCGAACTGGCTGCGCCAGGATACACGGCGGCGCCGTGCAAGCATCGGGGCCGCATCGGATCACCAGAATACCAGAATCGATCCAGATCGAGCGGACCAAGATCGACATCGAACGGGATCGATCGGATCGGACTGGTACCTGCGAAAGAAGGCACCACGAGACACGCCGAAGCGCATAGCTGCTGCAGAAAGGACGACGGCTACAGGGGGCGGGGGCTGGGGGTCCCAAAATAGTGCTGTGACAGACCGCGCGGTGACTTCGAAATCCCCAAAGACCTCACCGCACGCTCCGTCACCACACGGTCTAGGGACCGTAAGGACCCCAGTCGCCCGAGGCACCCCTGGAAAACGAACCCCAGAATCTGCCCAAGTCCCAAAACTGTGCGGTGACCCCGAATTCCCACCGACTCACCACACGGCGTGGTCACCGCACGATTCGGGGGCCGCCGAGGGGGGCGAGCACGGGCAGGGTCGCGCCGCCCAGGGCGGCGGTCGCCGCCCAGGTGGTCTTCAGGAAGTCTGGGCACGACGTGCACGTGGACCTCGGTGGGGTCGTGGGCCCACGAGAGAGGCGGTAACCAGGAGGTGGGTCGGAGTTGCTGCGGTGGCGGGCGTTTTGGGTCGGAGCCCGTGCGGCCGAGCCAGTTGTGAGGCGGAGCTCGTGCCGCGCAACCGGCGCGGCGGGTCACGACGCTCATGCACGATGTTCACGAGTGCTGGGCTGGCCAAATATCATCAGCCCTATGGGCGGAATTGTTTAAGTGCTTAGTATTATTATGAGTAATATGATTGGTACCAGCAGTACTAGTAGTACTATTGTTACTACTGCTAGTATTAGTCTTATTATCATTATTATTATTATATGACTCCTCTTCTTGTTAATATCATTACCGGCCTTCTTCATAATCCCAGGTATTGTCCCATCCGGTGCGGGGTTCCATCCCTGCTTATTGTTACCAATCATCCCTCCACTCGGCCGGCCGCCAACCAGGAACCACGAGCGCTCCCGCCCACCACCCCCTCCCCGCCATCCCTGTCAAAAGGAACAGCATGCACATTCCGGCAAAATCTAGATCATGGGCGGACTGTCAACGACCACTTGCAATGTTTGTTGACAAGGAAGGCAGGGGGTGTGAGCGCACCGATAGGACCAACCTACGGGTGATAAGGAGGTTGGGGGGGGAGAGGGGGGGAGACGGTCGATTTGCGATGGCTCTGGATTATTTGGTGGCTTCTTCAACTTTCCTATTGTCGCGCGCATATACCCATCTGTCGATCGACCTATCGAACGAATCATCTACTCAGGGCACCATCTGTTTATATTGATATAGATATCGATATATATATATATATACACCTTCATGCCTACATATACGTACATATGTATAGATATGTCTATGTAGATCGTCCGATGTATATGTCTGTATCTTTACATATATATACACATATACACATACATATAGATACTAGAACCATCGCGCGCGCTTGGCGCGCGCTCAAGTTCTAGCTAGGGTCATGATCATCGTCATCATTGTCATCCTCATCCCCGTCATCGTCATGGTCATCGTCAACTTCACCATCACAACAATCATCATCATCACCATTAGCATCAGCATCGTGATCATCACCGCCATCGTCATCGCATTTTCGTCAATGTCATCATCATCATCAGCATCATCATCAGCATCAACATCAGCATCAGCATCAACATCAGCATCATCAGCATCATCAACATCATCATCCGCATCATTAATGTATTGATGGTCGTCGGCGGCATAGTCACCGTCATCATCATCAGCGTCATCGCTGCCATCATCCCTGGTCCACTGCAATCCCCTTACCCTTCTCCTCTTCCCGTTCTCCATCTTCCCATCATCATATACTCATCCGTTTCCTCGTCAGCGTCTCCCTGAAAGGGATCCCTGTTCCTTCATCTCTCCTCCTCCTCCTCCTCCTCTTCTTCCTCCTCCTCCTCCTTCTCCGCCTCCTCCCTGTCTTCCCCGCTCTTCGGTGTGTCCCTCCTTGTGTTCCTTCACCTACTTCACCTCCTTCCTCCTCTCGAGCCCTCTTCATCCTGCGCTCCCCTTCCCTCCACGTCCTCAGCATCCCTCCCCGAGCCAGAGAATCAGAGAACAAGATAATCTTACAAGAACAATGACACTCCTTCTCTTCCCCCTCCTCGTCCTCCTGATATTTCTCCTTCTGCTCCTCCTCCTCCTGCTCCTCCTCCTCCTCCTCCTCCTCCTCCTAGCCGTTCTGGCACACAGGTGTGTTTGATACTGCGAACTTCAGAACGGCATTGCAGTATCGGGTCAGGTGGCTCGTTTCTGACCGCTCCACAGAGTTTCCCTCTGCCATGTCCAATGGCTCCTGGCAGTCGCGTGGGCAAGGCAACGGTGCCTGGCAGCCTACCCCGCCCTGGCGCGGCCCGACCCAGTGGGGCAGCCGCGAGGGCAGGGGGCAGGGGTCTGCGTGGGCAGGCCAGTGGAGCGGCAGGCGCTGGCGGTGCAGCCAGTGCAACTGCAACAAGAACATCGGCTCGTGGGCTTTCTGCAAGCATTGCGACACAGAGAGGCATGATCCAGCTCAGTGGCCAGACCTTCCGCGCATTCCTGGGCCTCAAGTTCCTCCTGGTGGTGGGGCTGGTGGCAGCGGGTTCAACGGCAGTGTCGGAAGTGTCTCCCTCTCGGCCGACGAGCTGCGCCAGCTCATCTCACTCTGCGAGAAAGGAAGAGATATGTCAGCCGCCAACAAGCACAAGCAGGCCCTGGACAAGCTCACGAAGTCAGCACAACCCGCTCCTGCACAACAGCGGGCCGCAAAAGCTCATAGTAACGTTCAATACTGGGAAAGGAAGCTCTCAGTCGAATTGGACCGCCTCGGCAAGCTGGAAGACCAGCTCAGTGTGCAACGGGACGCTGCTGCTGCTGCACGTGCCGAGCTCCAGGACGCCGACGAAAAATACAAGGAACTGGTCAGGGAGTTGGCTGGTGGCATGGTCAGCACCGAAGACTGTTCGAAGGGAGTCGTCGGAAAGGTCGATGTATCCGAGCTCATGGATGGTAAGTGCACCGTGTTCGACCTGGTCAGCCTCGACTCGATTTTCAAATTCGACGAGAGTGAGTATACTATTGCCAAGGAAGATAATGATGAGATGGAGACACGCCGCCAGACGCTCAACGCCCAGTTCCGCGAAGCCTGCTCATCCATGTTCGCCGACGCCCTCTCGAAGGCCAAAAACATTCGTGAGGAGCAGGCCAAGCACGTGGCTAGGTTGGGCAAGAAGCGGCGAGCCGACGAGGACGGAGGCACGCTTCCTGGGGCAGCTCAGCCGACGGGTGCGGCAGGAGCAGCACCGAGGACACCGCCTGCCGCTGCAGCTTCACGTGAGCCACAGGCGGAGTCTGTGGCGGCTGCTGGGGAAGGCAGCGACAGTGACGCTTCAGCAGCCTCTTCAGTGCGTGAGCGTGCGGCTGCGGCTCTTGACAAGCCTCAGCAAGCCCCTCCCCCTGCCGTGCGTACCCCATAAAGACGGCAGGGGGAAACGTCTCCATGGACCAACTTTTTGTAAGCTCGAGCCTGTGGATCGCCTCGCTCGGGCCATCTCAAATCCGGATACGTTTCTCTGGTTCCTTCTGTCTCCTGCCGACAGTGGCCCAGCGGCCACGGGTAGTCTCGGAAATGGTTTTGGAAGGCGCGACACGCTGTCTGTGCAGCCTTTAGCATATCCGCAGACGAGCCTTTCGGCAGGCATCTCCGCCCCCCACGTTAAATTTTGTCCTGCCGACGTGGGGTGTGGGCTCTCTCAGCCCCTGTCAGGGGGGTCTGAGAGTTTTGACTTCTTTGGGACCCCCCAGGCCCCTGGTAAGGATGCCATTGCTCTGCAGGCTTGTAGTTGCAATTGTACGGCGTGGTCATCAGCCAAAGAGTGGCTGCCGACCACGTCCGCACACGTAGTTTTGTTACAGGAGCATCACCTTAGTGAATACCAGATTGCTCAGGCCCAGAGTTGGTTGCTCAAGAACGGGTGGAAGGGCCTCTTCGAACCAGCTAAAGTGACTCGTGAAGATACGGACGTGTACACCTCAGGCGGGGTGGCGGTTCTGGTCAGGAGCTTTCTTGGATTGCACGTACCAGTCGGAGGTACTAAGGTATGCCAGCACCGTGCAATGGCAGCGTGGACTCATGTAGGCAAGGGGGATCCCATCCTGCTGATCAGTTGCTACTTGCACTGCGTTGAAGAGCTCAGCGATGCGATTATTGACATTCTCGCTGAGATAGGCTCCACGGTCAGCTCGTGCATGTCTTCGTATATTATCGGATGGGGACTTCAACATGGACCCCGCGGTCTTAGGCAAGTGCCAGTTCGTTGAGTCCTTGGAGGCCCAGTTGGTGAGCACGGAGTCTGGGACGTGTCTTTCTTCTGCGGGAGTTCGAGTCCTGGGCAATTTCCTGGTTTCTAGCGGGCTCGCCAAAGGTATCTGCTCGATCCAGGTAAATCGTAATGTTAACATCTCACCACATTATCCTGTGGAAATGACCTTTTTTCGAGCAGTTGGAGGACCTGAAGGTGTTATCGTTTCGGAAACCTCCCCCTCTTCCTGTCGAACCTCCTATTGGTCCTGCCCCTGCCCCCCGTGACTGGAGCCAAGTTCTCAAACTTGCTGAGGGAGTTTTTGATTGTGCTCAGCGTGGGTCTCGCGAGGCATTTGAGGGGCTCGACACGTTGTGCAAGTCTTGGGCTAATACGGCTGAGTTGGAGTTAGAAGGGGCCCTACAGACCAAGTTGCCTAAGAATGGTTGTCGGGGAGAATCTCCACAAGTCTGGTGGGTTGACATCAGGAAAAGAGACAAACGTCCAGGTCGACACCCCGCTTTGTTCTGTGTCCGCTGGCTTTGTCAGAATTATCGGCTCTGGTGGATTCATGCGCGGGCTGGAGAGCCCGACAAGCCAGCCAGATTTCACGCAAAAGCAGCCATCTGTTCCCCTTCGAGTTTCATTCTGGACAACTTCGCCAAGAGTGATTTCAGCCAGTTGTATGCAGATGTATGTGAGTTTATGGCGAAGGACGGCCAGTCTTTCGATGATTGCTACACCATCTCGACGCGCCTCGCAGACGCGCTGAAGATGGCCTCGCTCGCTGCCAAGAACGATGCTGACCGTGCGTGGAAGGAGTGGCTTCTGAAGGACATCGACCAAGGGGCTCGCGCGGCCCACGCTTGGTCGGAGCCTGTCGAAGCCTGGGCTCCGTCCTCGACACTGTCAGCATCGGGCCAGGTGCTGTCGGACCCTTTGTCGTTACTCAAGGCTGAAGGGCTCAGGTTCAAAGGTCTGTGGCTGGCTACTGAAGGAGCTGAATCCATCGACTACAACCAGTGCCAGGATTTCCAGCCTATGCCTGCCTTGCCAAGAGTTTCTGATGACACGATTCGTTTGGCAAGCCGCTCATACAATAGTCGATCTGCAGTCAGTGTTGATGGTTTTTACATGAGGCACTTTCGCCTTCTTTGCAACGAATCGCTCGAAGTCCTTTCATGCATC